TTCCCTACAAGGTGCCTGGAGCTGTGTGTGCTCCAAGCAGAGGAGCCTGCTGCCGAGTGCATCGCTCGGAGCTAGAAGCAAACCCCATGAAGCTCCATAAATGCTGGAGCACCTAAGGAAGGAAAGATCCCAGGAACACAGGCAGTGGGGTCTCTGCATCTGGCTGCTCACCAGCGTGTGTTTTTTCTCCCTGCACAGACACCCTGAGGACCATTGCCTCCATGAACCATGCACCACGGTCCTCCCCAGCAGAGCTCAGCGGCGCCAGCCACCACCTGCTGCGAGAGCGCAAGTCCTCAGCACCATCCCACTCCAGCCAGCCCACCCTCTTCACCTTCGACTCACCCACCAGCCACCTCCAGAGCACCCTGTCTGCCAGTGCCCCCCAGGACTACCTTTTCCTCCACCAGTGTATGAGCAGAAAGTCAGAAAATGCAAGGTATGGTAGCCAACCTAGCAGCCAAGCTCGGGGACAGCTGAGGGAGGGATGGGGGTGAGCGGCTCATCCCTGCTCCATCCTTGGAGATCTGGAAAACCCAGATAGAGAAAGCCCTGGGAGGTGGTGTTTTCTCATCACAGTTGGGAGGAGGAGGTTGGAGCAGTGACGTCTCAAGCTCCTGGCTTGCCTGGCTTTCTGGGTTGTGTTAAAAACTGGCTGAATGGCCAGACCCAAAGGGTAGTGATTGGTGGCACAAGGTCTATTTGGAGGCCAGTCACTAGCAGTGTCCTCCAGGGATGAATGCTGGGTTCAGTGCTGTTTAGCATCTTCATTAGTGATCTGGATGATGAGGCACGTTTGCAGATGACATCAAACTGTGAGTGGCTGATACACCAAAGAGTCATGCTGACCCAGGTGGACCTTCAGAGGCTGGAGAAATGGCTAACAGGGGTCTTACCAAATTCAACAAGGAGAAGTCTAGAGTCCTTCACCTGGTCAGGAACAACCCCAGACATCTAAATATGCTGGAGGTTACCCAGCTGGAAAGGACCCAGATGGCAGAAAAGGACATGGGGATCCTGGTGGACACCAAGTTGAACATGAGCCAGCAACGGGTCCTTGCAGCCAAGGTGGCAACTGGTATCCTGGGCTGCATTAGACTATTGCCAACAGGTCACAGGAGGTGATCTTTCCTCTCTACTTAGTACTGGTGAGGCTGCTCCTGGAGTGTTGGGTCCAGTGCTGGGCTTCTCAGTACAAAAGAAATGTGGACATACTGGAGAAAGTCCAACAAAGGGTCCTGAAGGTGCTAAAGCAACTGGAGCATCTCTCCTGTGATGAAAAGTTGACAGGACTGGGTCTGTTCAGCCTAGGAAAGAGAAGGCTCAGGGGGCATCTCATCATTGTATATAAACCCCTACAGGGAGGGTGCAAAGAAGATGATGCCAGGGTGTTGCCAGTGGTCACCAGTGACTGGAACAGAGGCAATGGGCACAAAGTGAAACACAGGAGGGTCCCTCTGAACATCAGGAAGCACTTTTTCACTGGGAGGGCACTGGCACAGGTCACCCAGGGAGGCTGTGAAGCTTGAAAATACTTAACAGTCATCTGGAAAATGGTCCTGGGCAACAGGCTCTGGGTGGCTCTGCTTGAACACAGAGGTGTTGGACCTTCAGACATCCCTTCCAACCTCAGCCACTCTGTGATCCTGCAGATGAAGCCCTAATTCCTGCCTTTACCCAGAAAAAACACAACCAGAGGGATGGGCAGGGACTGCCCCTCTCTGCCCTTCATCCCTGGGGCAGCTCAGACCTTGCTGGGCTTCACAACAGCCCTTGGTGTATGGGGTGGTATTTCTGAGTGAGCAGCAACCCTGGGCCCAGCCAGTTGCCTTAAATAGTGAGGAGGTTTTTTGGCATGAGGAGTTTTGGCTCATGAGAGCAGCAAGGAGGGAGGGATGGAGAGGCAGTTGGAGCCCAGCTGGCTTGGGGTGAGAGCAGAGCCTGGGCTGCAGCCTCCACGGGGCTTTCCTGCTGCAGCTGCCCTCCCCTGCTCAAAAAACAACAGAAAAAGGCTCAGGAAAATTAACTTCAGATGGAGTTCATGGAACAGTGTTTTAAAAAAAAAGGGCCCTCTGAAGCTCCAGCTGTGAGGACACCTCAGAGCCACCCGCAGAGAGCCTGAGAGCAGCTGGGACATGCAGGAGAAGGGAACAGGCACTGGTGCTCTGGTGGGCAGAGACAAACTGGCCAGCAGCAATTTCTGCAACTGGGCCAGAAATAATCACCCCATCAATTCCCAGTGCACAGGGCCAGGCTGCAGGACTGCTGGGAACCCCTCCCCCCTCAACTCCGGAGTCCCTAATTTATTCATCCATAAAATGAGGGTAATAGTAGCTAATTGGTGGGTGAGGCTGAATAATTAACCCATGAGATGCTTCGAGTCCTCAGCCAAAAGGACCCTGCCAGAATCCAAATGTCTCCTGGGTGGACTGAGCTCCAAAGGTGACAGAGATTTGTTTGTCAGATCACAGCATCACCTGTGTTTTTTCTTCCCCAAATAAGCCCTATTTCTCAGCGCCATCTCGTGCTGGCTCCATGAAACAGAGTCCCTGTTATCCCTGCAGAGCATCAACCCCACCAGAGCAGAGTAAATCCCCCAGGTTTTCCCACAGGGCTGGCACTTTCCAAGTGACTGATACAGGATGGGACTCTTCTTCACAGGGAGATGGTTAAATGGAGCTGGCTGAGTCCTTTCTGGCTGTGAGTGCTGTGGTCTCCAAAAGCCTGACCCATGTGTGGTCACACCTCTGAGGGCAAAAAAACCCAGCCCAAAGCTTCCTGTCACCTTCTCCCAGGGTGTATGCACTGGTTCTTCATGGCAAGATAATTTTTCAATCACAGAATGAATCACAGAATGCCAGGGACCTCAAGGATCATTTCTAAGTAGGAACACAATTTAGGTGAGATGGTTCAGCACCTTGTCAAGCTGAACCTTAAAAGTGCCCAGTGTTGGGGTATCTACCAGTGCCCTGGGGAGATTATTCCAATGTCCAACTGTTCTCATAGTGAAAAATTTACCTCTTCTGTCCAGTTGGTATCTCCTCAGGAGCAACTTATGCCCATTACTCCTTTTCCACATGACTCCTTGTAAAAAGAGAGTCTCCATCTTCTTGGTAGCCACCTTTAAGTGCTGAAACATGACAATAAGGTGTCCCTAAGCCTTCTTTTCTCCAGGCTGAACAAAACCCATTTTGTCAGCCTCTCCTCATATGGAGGAGAGAGCTTTTTGCAGCTTTACTGTATTTTTGTCTTCCATGCTGCTTCATCCAGCTCAGGGAAGGGCACCATCATCACCTGTGTTCAGTTCTGCCTTGTCTTGCCATCGTGTCCCAGTGCTTCCACAGCAATGGTTGCATTTCCCTCCATCCTGTGGGATGGGAGTTGAGGTGGGGGGGAAAGAAGAGTCCAAGTGGCCAATTCAAGCATTTCCTGACTTGAGAAAATGTCATCTGCTGGGGTTAGGGGTGCAAAAAGCCAAGCCCATGGGGCTCTTCATCTTCTGCAATGTTGGAGCATCGAAAGAGGAAGCAGCAGAAGAGAGAAAACAGGAGATTAAATACTTCAGAGGGAACAGGTTGAGGAGCAGTGGCTAATGAGCAGTCATTAGAGGACTCATGTCTCCCCAGTGTTCTCCTTCTATCCTGACTGGTGTCCCTAGCCATGACCACAATTCAAATCATTCAGTCATCATCAAGACATGGACCTAAAGACCACACTGCCCTGCTCAACCCAGGGCACTCGAGGGCTTTTATAAACCTGAATTCAACCCTGAGGTTCATTCCTTCTCTTTGGAAAAACAGCTGAAAAGCTGAAAACTCACCTGGGGTTGTCCTTGTCTCTCCAGGGCTTGCCCCTGCAAGAAGAAAGGATGGTGGCACAGCTGGAGGCTTTAAAATAATCCCCACCAGGAATTTTTCCAGTCCCTTTCAAACACATGGAAGGCAGAGGTGTGAATAAGCCCCCCTCCTGCACTATGGAGGGGTGGCCGAGGTGTGATGATGATGCTGATGTGGTACTGTTTTGCAGCTGTGTTTTGGGTCACTGCCAGGTGGCAGGAAAATTGCTCTTTTGGAGCAATTTTTGCTTGAATAAAAGGCTCATTCCCTCCCATAGCCCCTACCATGGAGGTCAGTGCTTCTATCTGTGATAGGGTCAAGCTGAAGGTGTTTTCAGGACAAAACGGGTTGTGGGCACGCTTGGAGGGGTCTGAGATGTTCCCGTTGCCCTGGGGTTGTCAGTATGGGTTGGGAAGGTGACAAATGGGGGGAGCAGAGCTTGCTGCCACTCCAGGGCTGGCTGTCCTCCACCTCAGCCCCCTTCTCCCCTTCCTCCCCAGGAGCGCCAGCTTCTCCCAAGCGACGAGATCCGCCTTCTTCATGCGGAGCGACACGGCGGTCCAGAAGCTCGCCCAGGGCAATGGCCACTGTGTGAACGGGGTCAGTGGGCAGCTCCATGGCTTTTACAGCCTGCCAAAGCCCACCCGGCACAACTCAGAGTTCAGGGACAGTGCGTACGACCTCCCGCGCTCCTTCGGCTCCTACACCCACCCCAAGTCCAGCCTCACCAGCTCCGAGACGGATAACGAGGAGGTCTACACCTACAAGACTCCCAACAACACCCTGTGCAAGGAGTTTGGGGAGCTCTCCACGGACTCCTATGACATCCCTGCCACCCCACTCTCCATCTACCAGATCCCCAGGACATTTACACTGGACAAGAACCACAACGCTCTGGCTGTGGCTGCCAACGACTCACCTGCTGCGCCGCCCCCTCGGCCTCCAAAACCTGGGCAGACAGAGCCAAGGTGGGGCAGCCCACCCCAGAGGCCCCAGCCTGGTGAAAACTTAGGGCTGGGCCCCATGGCAGCCACCATTCCCCGGAGAAACACGCTGCCAGCAGTGGAGAACAGCAGGCTGCACCGAGGTGAATTTGGAGGTGGGGACGTGGGGGTGGTTTTGTCCTGTCTAGTAGCCTTGGATGGGCTGGTACCCCTGGGTTGTGGTAGGGCTGGGGTGGTTGTTGGCATCAGCCAGGGGGTTGAACACAAAGCTCTGCCCTCTCAGGATCTGGCCCTGTTTTTTCTACACAACAGGCAAGGAGAGGCATCCACAGGGATCTGTCCACTGAGGCTGCTCCACTGACTCTTGGCATGTGGTGCCTCAAACTAAAAACCCAAGCCCGCTTGCCCATGCAGCCCTGCATCAGATTTTGGTGATTTCAGCCATTTTCAGCTTGCTTTTGCTGTAATTCATAACTAGTTTTATCAGAAAGTACTTCAGCCTGGAGTTGCCTTGGTTTTGCTCACCAGCTAGAGACATAATTTTGCACATGGATGGGCCATGGATGAGCATGCCCTTTCCAAAACTCATGCCTAGGATGGAATAGTTGCAAAGTAACTTAGAAGGGGCGGTTGGAGAGAAAACATACTCTAAATTATACACACAGCTCCCTGAAATGCCTCTTCAATCTCCTTCTACCTAAATACCAACATTTAGGCTGAGATCAGACCACCTTCAGCAGCAGATAGACCAGTCTAGGAGCTTAGCACCACATTCTCACCCTGTCCTCCCCTTCCTGGAGACTGCCAGCCAATCTGCTGAGTGAGCTGAAATGGAGCTTTCTCTTAACCCAGTTTTGTCACTGTGATCTACCTTTGCTCCTGAGATTTTGCAGCACTTTGACAGAACCAGGTTAGGTCTGCACAGCACGTGCAGAGTGTAGCAGAGAGCCTGTGACAGTATCTTCCCACCAGCATCTCAGTCGTCAAGAACAGATACTGCCCTCCCAGTACCTGGATTTTGTTTTCAGGGGGCCCTTCTATTAGCAGTTGCCCTGGGACACGTTGTGGATTTGTGGTTGGTTCTGTTGCAGCTTCTTCTTGCGAGACGTACGAGTACCCCCAGCACGGGGGAGGCAGCAATGTGCACTCGGTCGAGTCGATGAACGACGGGTACAACTCCTACCTGGTGAGTTGGCCTTGGTGTTGGCCACCCCACTGTAGGCACTGTTTGTACCTTATAGGTCCAGAGACCTGTTGGTTCCAGGTTGAACTTCACAGCCCGGACCTGCAGAGCTAAGTCCCCTAAGGAGGGTTTTATTCCTGATCTGAGTTTAAAACATGGTGGGTAGAGATGGAGGGAGAATCACCTAACCCAGCACCTCATGCAGAGATTTGCTTTGGGTGCTTCCACAGAGTGTATCTGCCTGGAGCTTTGACCCCAAAAAAAGGGCCCAGGAGTTTGGCTTCTTCCTGAAAGTCTGGGATGCTGCTGAGCTGAATATTGACCTGTTGCCAGAACAGCCCCTTTTCTGCGCTTTCTAAGACTTCCTGAGCTGGAAATGACATTAAAGCAGCATTTCATCCTGCATTTTAGTCATGTCCAGAGCCCAGGGAAAAATTACTTTCTAAGTTAAACAGTCTTCTGCAGTTCACTCTAATCATGAGAAGAGGCTCAGGTCTGGGTGATTAAGGCCTTTCCCTGAACTTGGGATATTGGAATGTCTTGGAAACAGTGGAGGTGGACCCTCTCAGTGCAAACTGCTGGCCAAGGAGGGGACAGACCTCCCTTTCATTCTGTGCTGGGATTTTAGAGATGATTTCACCTCGGGTGCATGACGAGATGAAGGGTTTCATAGTGGGACGGGGTTGTGCAGTGTCTGATGCTCACAGCACCTCCTTTGACTTGTCCCCCAGCAAGCCAAGGCAGCGGTGACCCGCACCCACAGCACCGACTCCGAGGACAACTACGTCCCTATGAACCCCGGCTCCTCACCCCTCATCCATGCCGAGAAGGCCAACGACAATGCCCAAAATCTCTACATCCCCATGAGCCCTGGGCCGCATCACTTTGAGCTGGTGGGGCTGTCCTCAGCCACCCTCCCCGTGCACAAAGGAGGAGCCATGGCCCAGTGCCACAGGCGGTTGAGTGAGATCCAACCCCCACCAGTCAACCGCAACCTCAAACCCGACCGGAAAGGTAAGAAAGATTGTTTGTGGGCAAACTTGTCCAGGACCTTTCTATTCTTGTCATGTTTTGGACTACATTTGTCCTCCTCTGCACACTCTAGAGCCATACGTGGGATGTTACTTGCTACTGCCGGCACAGTCAGACCTTCAGATCTTATAATCATAGACTCACGCAGGAGCTGGCAATGTGCACTCAATGCCCAGAAACCGATCGTGTCCTGGGCTGCACCATAAGCAGCGTGGCCAGCAGGTTGAAGGAGGGGATTCTGCCCCTTGACTCCACTCTCCTGAGTACCCCCTACAGGGCTAGGTCCAGTTCTGGGACAGCCAAAATAAGATGGACACGGAGCTTTTAGAGCAAGTCCAGAGGAGGCCACAAAGATGATCTGAGGGCTGGAGCAGCTCTGCTCTGGAGACAGGCTGAGAGAGTTGGGGTGTTCAGCCTGGAGAAGAGAAGGCTCTAGGGAGACCTGAGAGCAGCTTCCAGTGCCTGAAGGGGCTCCAGGAAAGCTGAAGAGGACTTTTTTATAAAGGTGTGGAGTGATTGGACAAGGGGGAGCAATTCTAAACTGAAAGAGGGGAGATTTAGATTAGATCTTAGGAATAAATTCTTTCCTGTGAGGGTGGTGAGACCCTGGCCCAGGCTGCCCAGAGAAGCTGTGGCTGCTTCCTCTCTGGAAGTGTTGTAGGGCAGGTTGGATGGGGCTTGGAGCAACCTGGGCTGGTGGGAGGTGTCCCTGCCCATGGCAGAGGGCTTGGAACTAGGTACTCTCTAAGGTCCCTTCCAACTCAAACCATTCTATGATTCCACAATAGAATAGTTTGAGTTGGAAAGGATCTTTAAAGAGGGTTAGGACTAGATGATTTTCAAAGGTGAGGTAGTCCATCTTCCCTAATCTTCCCCATCTCCTTCCTCTTTCAGGAGGTCTGTGATGCAAATGTAGCTTGTGTGGTGCTTGAACAGCCTATCTCAAACCCTTCCTGGCCTTTACAGGAGATGCATGTGACAGGCAGGATCTCACCTGCTTTGCCTTCACCTCTCCCTACAGTCCACCCCAAAATCTCTGTCTTGTATTCAGATGACCCAGATTTTTCCTACTGGCTGTCTCTAGGCAGTTCATCTCTCAGAGTTTTTCCTACATCCTCCAAATCCTTCCCCAAACCATTGCCTGACAGGTCTCCAAGGAGATGCTGAGGAGGAAAGATCAGGGTGTCAACACCTTATCCATCAACACGTTAGGTGAGGGCTGGAGCTGGAGCACAGTGCTCTTCTTTTTGACCTAATGAACCATCTGTGATGAGAAGAGCTTTCATGTTTTCCTGCAGATGTCCTTTTCCATTCCCTATGGGGAAATGCTCTGGCCAGAGGCAGGTCAGGGCTGGCACAGCCTGGTCTTGTCCCCATCTAACAGGTTATCACAGCTCTCTAAGGAATGGGTTTATTATACTCTGGGCTTTGGGCATTTTTAGCAGATCTTTATTCCTTGGGAGGCAGTTTCCTCTTTTGGGATGACCCATCCACTTTGAGGATGTGGATCAGAGGGAGAAATTTACTGTTTTCCCCCCATTCTGCCATAAATGAGTCCAGGGATTTTGGTTGGGGGTATTTGTCATCAGCAAGGAGGACTAGGGGGCTGATTAGCAGAACACAAAGCAACCAACAGTTTGTTGGGGATCTTCTCATGCCAGTCATAGATGCTGAATTGTAGGAACGTGCTGCCTCTGAATAAAGGCTTTTTCCCTCCCCAGCAAAGCCATCACCTCTGGACCTGAGGAACAACACTGTTATTGATGAGCTTCCCTTCAAATCACCAGTCACGAAATCCTGGTCCAGGCCAACGTGAGTAGTTGTTGGGGTATGAATTCTTGCTTTGCTCTGACAGCAGATACCTGGTCTCACTCCCCTGGTGTCCACACGCAGCCAAACTGTTACCTCTGCCATGGATTAAACATCCCTGGTTGAATCTAAGGGGGTTGTCAGCTTCCCTTCTGCCTCCACTCACTGCAGAAGTTTCTTCTGGCCCACCATCTCATTCTGTTGAAGGGACACATTTCTCATGGGCCATCTTTAATCAAGCTAGAAGTAAGCCCAAACTTAGGATGCAAACCCACATTTTCCCAAAAGGTGGATGATCCCTTCAGCCCTCATTGTGTTCTTTGTCAGTTTTAGAAATGTGATCTGCAGAGCTGGATCATGCCCTGCAAACATCTGCACTGGGGTCAAAGTCCAACTTGCTCAGCACCCTACCCCCATCAGGGACCAGCAGGAACCATTTGAGAAGTGGGGCATTTAGGAAATAATTATTTCCTAAAAAATCCTGCCATGCCATGGTTTTGGGGCTCAGGAGTTTCCTGGTCACACCGTGGCCAGACTTAGGACCTGGGTCAGATGCTGCTAAAGCAGAGGGGCTCCTCTCTTGGACCTCTCACGAGCCTAGTCAAGTGTTGTAAGAGCTGGAGGCATGTTCCTCACATCACAGATGGTGGCAGGACGATGAATTTGTTCAGGTTGGGATTTCACATGAAAGTCCAGCATGTGGCCGAGCAGCTAATTAAGATCTCTTGAAGACATTTCCTATTTGTGGGATCTGACAGAGCTGTGGCCCTGACACAAGTCCTTTGGGCCACAACATGGGCCCAGCTGAGCCATCCCAACTTGGCCTCACCGGGGGCACCATTTCACATCCAGTTCTTCCCCGAAACTCCCCAGTGTAGCCTCAAAAGGTGGGGTGACACTGGCAGGGTCTGCCCAAGCTGTGTTTTCATTGCCTTGAAAGCAAAGCCTCTCCTGAAGGAAGCCTGCAGTGCTAAACCAAAGCCCTTCAGAGCAAAGTCTGCCAGCCAAAAATAACAGGATTCACACCATTCCAGTTCTGCTGCTAATTCGTCGCCCAGTGAAAGGCAGAAGCAGAGTTTGGCTGCTGTGACTCCTCTAATAAATTGGATTGTGTGGAGACTGACTGCAGGGCATGAGCTGGAATCACTGCAGCAGGGAACAGGGAGCAGGTTTGATTGACAAGACATCTGACCCTGGAGAAGCTAATGGATTTTTCCCTTATCAGCTGATCACGTGGCCCTGCCTTTGCTGCAAAGGAACAAATAGCTTTTTAAGACATGAGCTTTAATGCCAGACACTGATTGCATTATGTTATTCTGTATAATTAGATTTGGCCAATTGAAAGCAAGATGATGCCTCAGAGGTTTTGTTTTCCAGCAAAAGATTCAGAGAGAGCCCTGCACTGTAAACAAATCCTGGAGCTGTGGTGAGGCTGGAGGTGAGAAGCTCCACCAAGGCTGGCCCTGCATCCTCTGCAATGAAATATTTCCTGTGTGATAAAAGAGTTCGTGGAGCCTGATTCATGTGGCTTATAGCAGCAGAGTTATGGGTACATAGCAAGCAAAGTGTTATTAAAAAGTCATAGAATCATAGAATATCTTGGGTTGGAAGAGACTTATAAATGTCATCTAGCCCTGCCCCCCTACAAGGGGGGAGGTTTAGGTTGGATATTAGGAAGCACTTCCTCACAGAAAGGGTGATCAGACCTTGGGATGGACTGCCCAGGGAAGTGGTAAAGTCACCATCCCTGAAGGTGTTTAAGGAAAGGCTGGATGTGGGACTTGATGCCATGGTCTGGCTGATGTGGTGGTGCTAGGTGTTAGGCTGGACTTGATGATCTCACAGGTTTTTTCCAACCTCAATAATTCTGTGATTCTGTGATAAGGAGGAACATTTCCAACTAGAACAGGTTCCTCAGAGCCCCATCAAGCCTGACTTTGAATATCTCCAGGGATGGGGCCTCCACCACCTCTCTAAGCAACCTGTTCCAGTGATCCACCACCATCATGTTAAAGAACTTTCTTCTCATTTCCAACCTAAATCTACCCTTTTCTAGCTTGAAACCATTACCCCTATCCTTACATGCCCTATCGTTACATGCCCGAGTGAAAAGGTCTTCCCCAGGCTTCTTATAGGCCCCTGTGAGGTACTGGGAAAAAAAGTCCTAAAAATAAAAATATTAGAAGACCAAATCCAGTGATTTCTGACCCATGATAAGGTCAGATTAGGAGAACTTCAATACCACTAACTCTTCTTCATGCCCAGTCCCCAGACCTGGGCGTGGCGATGTTTGGAGGCACCAGGTGCTGCTTTCTCCCATCCTTCCCCAGAGATGGACAAGCAGCCCCTGCAACCATCAGTAACACATTGACCCTTGTCCCTACAGCCAGACCTTCAACGCCGGCTCCCTGCAGTACTGTCGCCCTGTCTCCTCCCAGAGCATCACCAGCACTGACTCAGGAGACAGCGAGGAGAACTACGTGGCAATGGTAAGGGCCCCACAGCTGAGATGTATGGTCCTGGCAGGACAGGACATAGACATTCCACAGCTCTGCAAACACATTCCTAGCTCATGACATGGAATTGCTCAGGCAGCACCATATTGAACATGGGTGTACATCCTTACGTGCAGCCCTACATGCATAAAAAAAAGTGGCTTTTGTTCCTAAAATGACACATCCCATTGGGTTTTTAACTGTGTATGAGAGTAGGAACATAAATCACCTATTTTACCAGCAATTAAGAGGTGATACAAATGTCAGGATGTATTTTCCGAATTCATGTTGATTTTTATTCAGAGGTATTTTTTTTCCCTAATAGCTTCTGACATCATGTTCATGTGGAGGGCAGGGTCTATTGGAGCAGCAGCAGGGAGTGGCCCTGCTTGCAGGGAGGGGATTTTGTCCCTCCCTCTTCACATTGCTGCTGACTTGAAGCATATTTTTGGGGCTGTGTAACTAGGAGAGCAGAGGAAATCTGTGCTCTGTGTAATGTGAAGCACAGAGGCAGCAGAACTGCTCCAATATGTCAAATCAAGACCAGGAGCTTGAAATACTTGTTAGCACAATATACAACATATAGTCCTCCCAGCAGTTATGCACACCTGGTCCCAGAGGCAGGTGAGCACATATACAGACTGGGACCTCTTTTAAAGGTGCCACCAAGACATTTCATGGCCAGATTTGTGTTTAATTCCTTTTTTTTTTTTTTCCCTTCTTCCCATTTTAATCCTCATTATCTCTCCTGTCTCTTCCCTGCATTAGCAAAACCCCATTTCTGCTTCTCCTGTTCCTAGTGGCACCAACAGCCCAGCACCTAAAAAGAGCTCGGGGAGTGTGGATTATCTGGCCCTGGACTTCCAGCCAAGCTCACCAGGGCCACACAGAAAGGTATGGGGGGAATTCTATAAACTGTTGATTGAAAGTGATGCATTTTTAAAGGGTTTTTATACGCACAGGCAACAGGATGGTCTCAAGCCCTAGGCAGAGTTGGCAAGTGGCACAGCAACCTCAGAGGTGTGAATTTTCCTGCAGATCTGCTGCTACATTTTTTCTAGGTCAGGCTCAGCCTCTATTGCTTGTCTGCAGCCTTGCTGGAAGTGTCACCAGAAGCATGGATGTGCAGGGGTTCAGGGATGTTCATGAGACCAGAAATTCAGCTGGAGGTTGTAAATTTTCTTCTGGACCACAAGTTCAGCTGGAGAATATATATTCAAGGGATATGCCAAGAAGTATCAGATTTGTTTTCCCCTCCTTTAGAACAACAGTTCCTCAAAAACCAGACTTGGGCTTTCCACCTGAGATACTTTCTGGAGCTCATTCAGAAATTGCTGGGCACCTGTCTCCTGCCAGTTAGGTGCTTTTAAAGGGTGCCATTTGTCCAGGACAAGCACAAACTGCTTTCAGAAAGTGAAGCTGATGTTTAAAAGCCAGTTTATGTTGAGCTGATGGAGCCATTGCCCAGTGAGAAAGAGCTGTGGGGAGAAGATGGGTCAGGCATGGGATGTCCCTTCTTAGTGTTATGTGGAAATGCAGAGGGAGAAGCTCCTGAACAGCCAGGTTTGGGAGACTTTTCTCCATGTCCATACACAGGGGAAATAAACACCATCTTAAACTGAATCATAGGAAAATAGGGTAAGGGAAGACCTCAAGGCATCCACATATCCAAAGGAAACTATCTCTCCAGAGGTGACAGATGAGGCTTAAAAGTCTCAGATGATGGAGATCTCACAACCTTCCTAGCAAGACCACATACCAAGATGGAGAGGACACCCCAGTGTGACAAGATGGGCTGGGGAGGGCCCAAAAGCAGGTCCTGCTGGGTGTCACCCTGAGCAAACTAGGAAGGGGAAGGAGAGACTGGATCAAGCTAAGCAGCACCTGAGGGAGGGGATGGTGAAGGACAAGGCATTGTGGAAACCTTTGTGAGAACCACCTGTGGTTTGGCCTTGACTTTCTCAAACACCACCCTGTTTCCTAGGCAAAGCATCTCATTGATTAGATCTACTTATTGACAATTGTCCCTTGATCGTTTCTTTCTGCCTAGCAGTATTTCTGCAGGTATTACCAACTTAAATTCTATCCCAAGCTGGAAAGGTGATTTAAGACCTTTAGAAAGCATCATCTGGCTCCAGTTGCAAGCAGCTGGGGGTCTCCAGGAAACTACATGAAAGAGTATCTCCTCCTTGGTCCTGCAGACATGTCTTGTTTTGGGGATGAAAATGGCCTAGTGCCTTAACAGTGCAGGGTCAGCACAGCTAGGAGGGATGGAGCTGAGATTTTAATGTGTATCTATAAGAGTTCTGGAGTTCTTGGCAAGAAAGTGAGCAAGATGCAATGCTGAGTTTGTAATATCAGCAGTTAGATGACACGTTTGCAACCAAACATTCATGTCCCAGAGTTGGCATGAAGGTAGAGACCAGGGTGCTGTTTCTACCCTCCCGTTGCACCGCAGTCTCATGCAAGCAAGATGCAGAGCAGACTGAAATCTTTCCTCCAAGAGCCTTTGGCAAATTAGAGGGTGGGCTGATGAGCTGTGGAGTCTGCAAGAAAGCAGGGGAGGTGCCAGCGGACTTGCAGGAAGGAGTGAGAGGGAAGAGCAGGGAGCTGATGAGTGACCAGGCAGTGGCCATGTTTCTCCTCCCTGCAGCCCTCCACCTCGTCGGTTGCCTCAGATGAGAAGGTGGATTATGTGCAAGTGGACAAGGAGAAGACCCAGGCTCTGCAGAGCACCATGCAGGAGTGGACGGATGTGCGGCAGTCGTCAGAGCCCGCCAAGAGCACAAAGCAGTAGTGCCTGGGGCAGGCAGTGAAACAGGCAAATGTCCTGCTGGTTGTCCCCAGCTGGGGCCTGCTGGGCTGCCAGCTCCACTTGGGCTGGATCTCTTAAGACTCGTCTGCAGAGTGGAGGGGGTCTTCATTTTTATTTTTTATTTTTTTTCTTTTAAGACAAAAGGAAACTTAATTTCAGGGGAAGACTTGGCGGATACTGTTTGCCAGTGATAAAGACCAGATGTCTTTGGTGGCAAGGACTGTGCTTTAGCTGCTGGATGCCCTATCCAGGAGCTTGAACTTAGCAATACCAGTTTTCACCCTACACATCATTTGCTTACAGCTATTAAAGCCACCGTGTATGTGCTAACACTGCATCATCTCTCCCCGTCTTCTTCCATGCCATACTCCCAAACCATGCCATCCACCTTTGCAGCATCTCTCATAGGACATCATCCCCAGCTCTGATCCCCCATTCCTCATGGTTGCCCTCTTCTCTGCCTCCTCCCAGTCCTAGAACCGAGCAAGGACCATTCCTTGTGAAATCATTGTTCCATCTCTTGTAAATAATGTGTTCAAAACCTCTGAGAGCTATTCTCCTCCTGATGGGACAGCCTCTGTGGGTTTGGTTGTGGTTGTTCACCTTCAGGAGCTTGAAAAGCATCCAGAATGTCCCACTGAGCTGACTTTGAAGCCCAGGACTTGCCCCATCATACACACACATATATGGCAGCACATGCTCACACACATACATGCATGCATGGAACAAAGCAAAGTTTGTTGGGGTGTCTTCTGCTGTTCACGCTTTCCAGCATCTCTCAAAGGCTGGAGAAACTGGCTTTGGAGGGCAGAATTTAAGCCCTGACCCATGGCCTATCTGAAACCAATTGCCTTTGAATCTGGCCCTAAGAACCAAAATCTGCCCTTTGTGTCACCAAAAGAAGCCTATGAAGTAAAATTCCTACCTCTGTGGCCATCATGAGAAACTCTATGGTTGAGTATGAGGAGCACAAGGAGGCTCTGGAGACCCTGTGTATCTGGACTGGCATGAGGATGAGTGACAAGGAGGGAGTGGGAGGCTGTTGTGAGGACGGGGAGAAGGCAGAGGCTGGACTGCAGAGGATGGTCTTGGGTGAGGAGGTCTGGTGGGGTGTGTCTTGGAGGAAAGGAGTAGAGTAATTGAAATGTTGGTTGATATGAGGCCTTAGGCTTGGGAAGAGGCTAATCAGGAAAGTCAGAGCAAGGTGTTTTAGTATTAGCTTTAATGCAGCATTATGGTAGGTTTGTGGTAGGTGCAAAGGGTTGGACTAGATGTGTTTTCCCAATCTTCAGCAATGTTTCTTCAACCCAGAAATGGGGCTGGTTGATGTTAGTGACCCTAGGCTCTAATTATGGGTGGGAGACTGCTGTTGCCCCTCACCAGCATCCTTGACACATCCAGGCTTGGAGACGGCTCCCCAGGCAGATGCTGGGCACAGAGAGCTGAGAAGGATGAGACAGTTTATTGCAGAGATAATAATTCATGATCTCATGAAAACAGGAAGGACTGATGATTGCCATGGAGCAGCCTGATTGCCAGACAGCAAGTGCTGACACAAATAAACAGGCCAACCACAATCCCAGAGCCAAACGAAGGAGACATTAGAAAGATTAGGTAATAGTGTTTATGAGGTGTCCCTGCCCATGCAGGGGGGTTGGAACTAGATGATTTTTAAGGTCCCTTCCAGCAAAAACCAGTCTGTGATTAAATAGCTGGAGCTTTTCTTTCTGCAGGCTGAAGCCCTCCCAGTGCCACTAGCTCTTGTGTTCCACCAACACCACCAAATTGCATTGATTACTGATGCTTGAGCCTCAACACATTTGTTTAATCTTGGTCTGAGTTTGGAAAGGGCCAGAAGTGACCCACACAGGGACAGGATACCAGTCCCCTAAGGGCTGCCTACTGGTAAAATAAGTCTTGAACTTCCAACACCAGTTTATATTTTCTTTTCACGTGCCATGAAAGGGAAAGATATTAATGGAAAAGCTCTGATGACCCTTTTAAGACACTGAAGTGTTGGCCTTTTACAGAAATAATGAAGCAAAGATCCTAATGCTCATGGGAAAACAAATAATAATCTAGAATTTGAAATTTTAAAAAAATATATACCCAAAGGGGGAAATTTAGCACAGCCAGATGCTTTTTAAAGGCTGGGGAGTGTGTTACAGCCTGCAAGGGCCTTTGCCTCTTGTTGGGGGCTTGCAGGCTTGCATGGTGAGCTCATAAAATGAAGAGCAGAGTACAGTGCTTTGTATTTCTATAGCCCCTTTCATCACTGCCTCTCAGGGGAGTCTAAACATTGGGCCTGATCCAGAGACCACTGAAGTGTGTGTCAGTGTGTGTTCAAGTGGCTGAGACGAAACTCCCCATCCTCAATGAAGTTGAGAAAGAAGGATTATGGGCCATGCTGGTTGCATTTCCCTGCCAAAATTGTGCTGTTCTCCTCTAGCATTAAAATGTAGTCACTTCTGGGGTGGATTGTAGCAGTACTTTGGGGAATAGCTCCTCATGTTGCTTTGGGTCTCTCTCCATAAAACAGTGCAACTATTCTCGAGATAAAACTGAGCCCAGCTCCAGGCTAAACAAATCTTGAACAGGACCAAAACCCTGGGGAAATCAAGTGATAGCTCATGCTCAGACTGAGTCTTTTTCTCCACTTGGGAGATGGGGAGCTCAACAAGTCCCAAAGGTGCCCTGCAAGTGGGTGGGAGAGAGGGAGGCAGCAGCAGGAGTAATTTCTGATGGTTCAGTGGTTTGAGAGCCAACACAAGGGGCTGGGATGTGTTTTGCTGAGTGGGTGCCCTGTGCTTCTGTGCTGGGACTAGGTGCATCCAGTGCCCACTCTCACATTTAGCCCAAAGCACTAGTTAAGACTAGAAAAGCTCTTCATGGTACTGGAGAAGCTAGTTCTTTTTCTCCATGTCCCACAAAGGTCTGTATTTGTCCATGGAGTAGGCAGTGACATAGGACAGCTCATTTCCCTGGGTCACCCCCTTATTTAGACAATTTGTTTTCATGAGTGTTCCAGTAACTCTCCCTTTGCATTTGTCAGACCAAGGATCAAAACAGTTTCAAAAGTAGCTATTTTGCAGCTGCTGGTTTCTGGTCCCTCTCTGTTTTGCAGTGAGGCCTGTGTTTTCCCAGAAAAAAAGGGAGATTCCTCCATTTTTGTCCCAGCAAAGCACCAAGAAAACAGCTCCTCCAAACCAGGTAGCGGCCCACAGACTCTATGCATTGCCTTACAGACATTACTTTATCAACTCCCCTGAAAGCAGTTAAGTAATCAATGGCTGCACTGAAAATAGTCATTCCTGGTGGTTGCCAAGCTGATTACAGCAGTCCCTGATGATTAATGTTTGTGCAGTATTTAGTCTTAAACCATATTGAAAAGCAGCTGCTTTAATTACACCGACTGCCAAGAACTTTGTCCTGGAGGCACTGATTTTATCACATCCACTCTATGCTTGGATGCTCAAGTATGACAGACTCTTTTGTTAGAAATAGGAATTTTAGGAAGCCGAGAACATTGCAAATTATTCATTTTAATTGCAATTGAAGTGGCTTCAGTCTTCATGTCAGAGCCTGCTCTTCAGCTCTATGGTCCCATTTAAGGAAAGGGATGTGCTTGCATGCGTGTGTGTGTGCTCATGGAGAAGGGTTGTCTGTGGGACAAGCAGTATGAGATTAATATTTAGTTTTATGAAGAACCAGGGCCGTGGCTCAAAGCTCTCCCTGATCTTTAAAATGACTAAGCTGGTGGTTTAAAAGGCAGAAGTCTCCAAAAGTGTGTAGCCCTTGTTGTCAGCATGTGACTGCTGCTCATGGTTCCTCCATCTGGTGAGATGTGTGACCTGCTTTGCAGATTATTTGCTCTGAACTGACATTTGAGTGTGCAGTGGGAAATACATTTCCAGCTGGCTTGGGCTTAGTCTCAAGCTGGACAGAGAAAACACATGTGAGTGAAGATTGTGCTAGGGCAAAGCTGAATGGCAGGCAGATGAGGCCAAATCTGGAGCCAGGACCAAAAGGTAGCTAAGGGCATGGGGGCTACCTGGGATGGATTTTGACCCAGGGCCACCAGCCACTGACAAGGGTGATGTGTAGGGGAACATGAGGTTGGGAAGACAGAAGGCAGAGGAGTTTGCCAACAAGATTTGAGTCTTGATCTTCACCATGTGTTCCTGTGGCATGAGTCTTGAGTTGGATATATAGAGATTGGTGGGTTGTGGAGTGGGTTGTTGCTCAGTAAAAGCCATGCACTGATGGGACAGGAGCTCCCACCACTCTCAGAATTTACCCAGGGCACTTCACCCTCCTGGGGCTCATCCTGCCTGACAACATGATGCCTTGACACTGGCTTTGAGGAAACCCTGGTCAATGCACCCAGCTCTGAGCTGGGCAGGAGAGGCCCTACCAGAAGTATGGTAGGGACTTGGACATGCTGGGAGACACCTTGCTCTGGGGCTCTGTGAACTGATCATGGGGCAGCAGTGCTGTGGCTTCATAGGGTTGTCCTGTGAGGTGTCACCTCTGTCCTCAGAGTTTTCAAGACCAGGCTGGATCAACCCCATAGCTGGCCCTGCTTGGAGCAGGGGGTGTGACTAGAGGCATCTCTAGAGACTTTGTGCTGCTGGGGCTGAGCAGTGACTCATCCATATGAGGGAAAAGGGACAAAGGTATTGTCAAGAGCCCTATAGAAGCCAAGGGGCAAGGCACAGCTCAACCTCTAAAGCCATACCCCACAGTAAGGTGACCTAATCCACACTGGGATCCTCCCCTGGACCTCAGAGAGAGATGTCTGGCCTACATCAAGTCCTCCAGTACACGGACACACAGCCCAAGCAACTAGGGGACAGCTTGAACCTCTCAATTTGTTAGGATAGACATTGACCTAGAGCTGTCTCCAACCCCACAGCAGCCCCTATACCCTGGGGTTGTTATGTAGCGAGGTTTCACCAAACATCTCTCCCTCCACCAACCCATGGCCAGACAGTCCTGGCCCATGGGTCAGCAATGTCTGGTGTAGAAGCTGAGCTGCATGGCTCCATCTCTTGAGCCAAAAGAGCTTCTCAGTAGACTTGCTTCCAATCAGTATTCTTAATTTTTTATGTGGCCTATCGCTAACATGTAACAGGTTCATTTATAGGCCAGTGGGTTGACTATATTAGAGAGGTTTTCTCCAAGACCAGGAGATAAGAAACCATCATTTTTATTGTCATTCTTTGGGTGACACCACACTTTATCATCAGGTGGGATGAGTGGGTTCATTTGAACTCTGTATCCTGCTTTTTCTCCGGCTTGTAAAATGAAGATTTTTAGCACTTATTTCCCCACCTCACAGATGCATCATGAGGTGTAACTCATTGACATCTAATAATGCCAAGAGCCGTTTGGAGTCCACATGCAAAGGCCAGGCATCATGTGGTGCTACCCTGTTTTCATGCCCAACATCAGACACAACAATGCACATCCCACTCTGC